AAAAGATAGTTGCAAGAGAAGTCTGACAAGTTTTTTGAATAAACTGTTCTCTCATACATTGCCTGGACTGTCACGGCTACAGGACCACTCCAACCTAAACTGCCAGGCTAAGAAAAGAAGAGGAAAGAGTTTTTACAGAAAACTGCTTGGCTACTATTTCTCTGTTCTTGCTGTTGTTTAAGATGGGTTTTCCCTTGCAGCTTAGTTTTTATTTTTAATTTTATATTGTAGTGTATCTGAGTTTAATGTGTTCCAGGAAAAAGGTAAAACTAGTGAGGAGGAAGTAAGCACTTGTCTAAATACATCTAACAGCGTAGAAACTTGTAAACGTGAGGAACACCTATGGGTAAAATGTAAAGACTAAGTAAACACTGTAGAATGGATCCTCCCTAAAAATCTGCCTCTGTGTCAATTTGTGAGGAAGTAAGACTTGCACAGGATTATGCAGTTTGAATTGGCAGTGTCAAAGTAAAGTGACAGATGGCATTGTACCAATAGCTTTGCACTAATACGACTACAATGCTAGAGGCTGCAAAAAACTTTATAATGCATATCATGTGTGTTTTAAGGAATTGACAACATTTGACAATGCAATGAAATACAGGAAACTTGAAGACCTTGAAGTTTTCAAGGAAGGGTTTGTGTATTCTTGCTTTCTGTGACAGACCACTACTACACTATAAATAAAACCCAAGTTGCCCATCCTGTTCAGTTGGCATGAAAGAATGGTTGTGAATTTTTAGTCTTTTTTTTTTTTTTAAGACCAAATCCTGATTCCAGAGAGGAGTACTTAGTTTAAGAACTTTGGAACTGCCTGCTTTTTTCTGTCTCTCCTTTTTTTTCTCCTTCTTTTACTCCAGAATATTTTTGTTTAAGGGAGATGCAAAATTGGTTAAATGTTTTGACTTAGTTGACATTCTTTAAAATTTGTAAGTAGTGGTATGTGGTGCTACACTATAACCCAACAAATGATGCTCATAATGTTCAAGACTTGCATTGTTCATTGTTCCTGTGTGATGTTTCTCAAAGTGAGTTACTATTTCAAGTACTAATAGGGGTTGCAAAGGGAGCTGCCCAAGCATAGCAGGCATAGGGCATATCAGAAGTATGTTGAGTGTGGAGCCTTTGTTGGAGATATTTTACCACAACTGGAAGTTTGATTTATTTATTTATTTATTTACTTTTAAGTAGATTTGGGATCTGGGGCCATTATCATGTTTGCACTTTTCCCATTAGTCAATACCACGGTTTTCTTTATTTTCTCATGTCTCATTCAAATTCACCACTGGGTGCAGTGAGGGAGCCCATTGATTGAGGCCACAGTAGTGTTCAAAGTCTGAGTGCAACCTGCCAGGGTGCAGTGATGACCTGCGACAAGAAGACTTGACAAGATTGCCAGATGTGAGTGACATCTGGGAGTGGAGAGCTAGTGCTTCAGCATGGTCCTTGAGCTCTTTTTGCAAGTTTTTTCTTACAACTGTCTTAGTTGCTCTATGAGCAAGCTGGATCCCTTTCCCCAGCCATGTTTGTGCTGTCTTCACAGAGAAAAGGCTGTATTTTTATACTTCTACTTTATGCTTGTCTATGAATTAGTATGCTTTTAAGCAAGGCAGGGATTTGATTTTGATTGTCCTCTCTTAAATTCTTGAATTCCTTTTCAGGATTTGGGCCCCTTAGACATAAATTATAGGGTAGGGCAGGTGGGACCCTCACTGTTGCAAGGCCAGCTAGTTCAGCTCCCTGTTCCAGGCAGGGTTATCACCATCTCAACCGTGCCAAGCAACATTTGTCTAACTTTCACTCAAGTTTCCAACCTATGGAACGGACATACTGTGTTCTAATGCTTAACCAGCCATATAACTAGAAAGTTTTTGGGGGGTTTTTTAATATACAACTTAAATCTTCCTTGTCATTTTAACTCTATTACTATGGGTCCATATCATCTCATGACTTGCATATGACTCTAGCTGATACATCTTGGTAAACAGTGCTTGTTTGTTTTTCTTCACAGCTGTTCAGCTTGTGATCAGGTCTAGGTCTTTTTCTGCAGTACTGCAGTCCAGGCAATTGTTTTTCCATTTCATGTAGAATTTCTGTATTTGCATTATTGAATTTCTTTTTGTCATACCATTTTAATCAATTTATCAAGGCCTTTTTGAATCCTAATCTCATCCTCTAAAACGGGGCAGGCAATTATTTTGGCTGGAGGGCTGCTTACAGAGTTTTGGTGAACTGTTGAGGGCTGCAAGGGTACCCTCACCCCCTGGTTGCCATCTTGTGACTGGAAGTCCCGCCTCCTACACTCTGACCTTTGCCAACCAACAACCATGGCCACATGGTTCCCTGGTACAAGTCCTCCCCTTTGCCCCTGAAAGTACTTCTTTCAGCAATGAGTTTTGCCATCTCGGAACCAGAAAAATACCAAATTATATTCTAAAAATTGAACATCTACAACATTAGTTTGATTTCAAAAAATATTTTTATCTTGATTTACATGTGTTTCTGTAGTATACGTAGAGGTGATTGCACAATAGCTTAAAATGAAGTCTTACTCTTGTATATTGTGGGGCATGGGGGTGGGTATACGTTTGTGTGGGTATGTGAGGTCTGAGGGAGGATAGGTGTGGGGTGAGGGAGCGTGTGCGCACGTGTGGATATGTGGGGTGTTGGGTGGGTATTGGGTTTGTGGTGGGCTGTGTGTGGTGGGGAGGGTAGCGGGGGTGTGGGGGTTTGTATGTATGGCAGTGCAGGGTGGGATGTGGGTGCATATGTATGGTGTGGTGTGCGTGTGGGACTCGCCCTACGACCTCTCCCTCTCCCCACGTGTGTATGCACACACGCATGCATGTGCACATGCATGCGCACACGCGCTCTCGTTCCCTCATTGTTCTCTCAGTCTATCTCTCCCCTTCCCTTATTCCACAGACACGCACGCTTTTTCCCACCCCCGTCCCCCCAGCTCCTGGCCCCAGGGTACCAGCATGGGCCCTGTGCTCCCACATCCTGGCAGTGCAGCTGGGAGCCACGTGGTGCTAGAGCAGGGCCGGAAAGCAAGGAAGTGGCAGTGAGCAGGAGTGCAGTGATAGCTGGATGGGAGTGCGGGGCCAGCACCAGCAGGGCCTAGAGCGGAGCAGCAGGAGTGTAGGGCCCGGGCTGGCAGGGGCTCTGGAGTTGGGCTAGCTCCTCTCTCTCCATGCTGACGCAGCCTGGCCCAGCTCCAGAGCCCCTGCCAGCCTGGGCCCTATGCTCCTGCCACCCTGCCCTGGACCCCCACTGGCATTGGCCCTGGGACACCAGTACAGGCCCCACACTCCTGCTCAGCTGTTGCTGCACATGCCTGCTCACTGCCACTCCTCTGCCTGCCAACACTTTCCCCACTTTCCTGCCTGCTGCCACCATGTTCCAGCACCACGTGGTTCTTGGCTGCATGGTCACAACCGCAGGACTCAACAGGAGCCAGCCCAGCCCAGGCCCAAGGACTGGGGCAATCGCCCACAGTCCTCCCCTGCCTCCCCCCAACTGTTATCTGAGTTTCCCTCTTGGGCAGAGGGAGATGGAACAGCCCCAGGTTTCCCAGGCCAGAAGTCTCTGGCTTCTAGTTGGGGGAAGGGGAGAAGGAATGGGCAGGCCTTGCTGCTGGGTCCTGCCACTGGCTTCCCCTGGGTCCTACTGCCTGTGGCTCCTGTCATTGTTGACAGGCAGGCAGGAACAGATAAACATGAATCTTCTAAATTCTTTTAGGGGCCCCATGGGCCAGATAGAATGTCCTGGTGGGCCAGAGTTTGCCCTCCACTGCTTTAAAATATCCGATAAACTCCCAGACAGGCTTTTCTTATGAGTAGGGATTTACCCAAATCAACAAAGCAGGCTGCCAATTTTATGGGCTTATTGTGGCGGGCCCCATTCACTGTCTCTCTGGCAGGGGGAGGGGGCAGGAGCGCAATGGCTCCACCCTTCTGCGGATTGGCTGAGAGGGCTGTCCATCATGCAGACCCACCCCTTGGTGCTGATTGGTGGAGAGGGGCAGGGCTGCACAACAGGCAGCTCTCAGTGGTGAGGGGCAGGGGTGGCAGCCATCTTGGCTGCTTCCCTTTGTGCCAGCATCTTCCCTTTCTATCTGCCCCTTTGCCCCCCCCCCCCTTTAGCCCTGCCCAAGTGGGCTGTGCAGCCATGAGAACTGCTGGCTTCCACTGGGGAGCCAGCATTTTTAAGGTGTTTTGGGGGTCTTTTTGTGGATTTCGCAGACATTACCCTGTTTCCACAAAATTGTGAATTGAGTAGGCCTCTACTTATGAAGATGGTGTGGGCAGTGGTGTCAGAAGCCTTTTTAATTCCATTTATATCACATGCATGGTTCCCCCATTGTATCCCATACATAATTTCCCCCATAGCCACACAGCTGTCACTTACAATCACAAAGCTAACTTTTTTTTTTAATGTATATACTTCTTGAGCATTAATACCTTTCTGCACACTCAGTGGCTGCTAATACCTATTCAGCACTGGTCTTGGTGCTAATGCTCATAAGTAGTATGTGCGTGTATGTAGACAGTGGTCATGCTGTACTTTCACTTTTTTTCAACAGACATGCAGTGCTAGGGGTAGATTCAGAGCGGAACAGTCTAAATTATTAAGTGTAAAGCCTCTGATTTTAAAATTGGTTTTAATTGGGGTTTTCAAGTTGTATTTCAGTTCTGTTTCTTTTTTCAAAGTAGTGCATTATCCTTGGTTGATACAACAATTAAAACACAAATCTACAACTAAGTAGACCCTTTATGATGGATTTGGTACATCTTACCGTAGAGAAGACTACACTTACAGCATAAATATATAATACTTCTAAGTTCTTATTAATTTGATGTCTCTCTAGTATATTAGAACATTTCATAATTTGTCAATTTCATAAGTTAAAGATGCACCACTTTGAGAAAGCAGCTAATTTTTTTAATATCTTAGTACAAATTGTGATTTAAATACTTATTTCTTTGTGTTTACAGGTGAAACCTTAAGGCAATATTCCCAGAAAAAGTAGTCTTCCAAAGAGAAGATAAATGTACTAAAGACTGGGGCAAAAAAAGAATTCTGGTAAATAACTTCCAGCTTCATTCCAACAGTATATAGAAGAATGTACATTTCTTACTGTCTCCTTGATGTGTAGCAGTTTGAGGCACTTATGTGAGTCATTTGGTTTTTAAACCAAACAAAAACTAACATTTAAAGTGATACTTATAAGTTTGTGGATGTGTGAGGTTGTATGGGAATGGCTTTAACCAGTTTTTTTCAAATAAAAGACTGAAAACTCTTATAAAGGAAACCTCACTGCTGAGATTGGAAATTGCAGCTAAACCATCAGCTGTAGGGTGGTTGGTGGAAAACCTCAAATAGGACATCATCCATCAAAGCACTTCGCTATGTTCCTAACTCTGAGCCTATGCATGCTGTCAAAGGGGCTCCATGATTGACTTTGGGTAATGGAAATACTTGTGCTTGAAATTAAGCATGTAATCAAGTGCTCTGCTAGATCAGGGCCATAATGATTACTAAAATAGCAGCTGCCGATCCAGGATATTATGCATAGCACTCCCTCTCCTCCCACATTTTAACCTTATTCCAGGTTTTTTTTCTTTCACCACGCCCTTTCTTGAGCCATTTTTTAATATTTCCTCTTATTTTCCTTCTGGAGAGCATGCATCAGGGTGAGTGTGATTTTCCCCCCCCCGTCTGAAATTTTCTTCCCCTTTCCCAACCCATCCTGCAGGTCTGAGCATGTTACTTCAGCTCCAGATGGCATAAAAGGTAGTGATGATCAATTGGCAGTTCAGGACCAAAAAGCTCTTTAATCTGTCTGCCAGTTGTCAAACCAGCCTTTCATTATGTTTGCATCCTTGCCAGAGTTGAGTAGTCCTCTGGCCAAATGCATAAAATTTGCATTCCTGGGGTTATGAATGCCTACACTTTTTATAAAGGTATATTTTTATTCCTGTAATGAAAAAGTACTAAAAAATATATTTCCGTGTGATAAGAAACAATGATTGTAGTTGTCTCATAAAAGTGGTGCATCTTTCATTTTGATGCTTTTTTTTAATAATTGTTTTGTAGCATAGGTTTTTTGACATACATGACTAATGGAGTGTTATATTCATGTTGCTGAATCTGTTTTAAACAGGAGTTTAAACAAAAAGTTGGTCTCCCTGTAAGGAGTCTATAAGGAGTCCCTTCTACTTCCTTAAAGATCTCGTATTTTCAACTTATTTGTCAATTTTATAAGTCGTACCATGACTTGTTTATGCTCTTCATTTCTGTGTATTATGCTGCTTTCTATGTTTCTATTGTCACCAGTGTAAATATGCATCACTCTTAATGTAGATCCTCAATAGAAAATATATTTATTGCTCTTCTTACATATTTCTTTTCCCTTACTTTCGGCTCATTTGGAACAGTCAGTATCTGATGCTCTCCAACAAAGAAACTTTACCTAACAATTATTTCTATTACTTAGTGTAAGAGCCTTCATCATGAATTGAGACTTCATTGTGCTAAGTTTTCTGAAATACAGAACAAAGATAGTACCTGCCCCAAGACTGTTACAGTCTAAGAAATGTTTGCAAGAGGAATGTAGTGGGTGTTATAAAGGAACTTCACTGTAATAGTAGGAGGTGGATAAAGGAAGCTCCTGCCCCTCCACTCTGTAAGTCTCTCAAGTTAATAAATACTGAAATTATGGTATTTTGTACTTTTGTTAGTTTTAAAGTAAATTTTGGGTGTTTGGACATAATGATTCCAAGTTAAAGGGAACAGTCCTAAAAATCATAAGTGTGTTGATAACGTATGAAAAACTCTTGAAGATGCAGGAAGGCCTTGAAATGTATTTAGATTTCATCAGTTCTGGTACAGTTTATGGGATGACCTTGCTCAGCTGAAAGTTCTGAATAAGAAGAGGTTTTTTTGTTTTTTAGACTTGTTAGACTAGTTTTATTCAATCCTATAGAATTCCCATGAAGTTGGAAGTCCTGAGAATTCCTTAACTTTAAGGGCATGTTACTTCCACTACACTAACTTGTACATTTCTCCTTTGCATTAGCAGCTCAGACATGAGCAGTGCCAGTAATTCCCTGGCACGTGAATTTTTGACAGATGTCAACCGTCTCTGCAGTGCAGTGGTCCAGAGGGCAGAGGCCAGGGAAGAAGAAGAGGAGGAAACTCACATGGCAGCTCTTGGACAATACCTTGTTCATGGCCGTGGATTTAATTTGCTTACCATGCTCAACTCAATTATTGATCAGGTAATAGTTACCACAGTTGTAGTATCCTATATGCCGTTCTAGTTTGACTAGTATGCTGTTTCTCTATTATAGAAAACTGCATTTGCAAGCACTGAACATCTGGGAATGTGGATGCTGCCTTTTAAGAGGATTTTTTGCATTTCCACCCCCCCTTGAGATTTATATCCTGTTGGGGCTTTCTTGTCTTGTGTGGAAGACACGTGTGATATGGAGTTAGAAAGATTACACAGATATTACCAATATTTCAGTACTTTGTCCTTCATAGAATAGCAATTTTTTCACTTTTTAGAAGGATAAATCTTGTAGGCAAGATAGATTACTTTCTCAAGAATTGCATTTTTGAGGTTACAAATGGGATCAACTCTTCTGAATAACTAAGAAAAGATCAGCCCTAGGTTGCAGTGACACACTGAAAGCTCATGTGGTTCTGGCTGAGTTGCCTTCAGGGTTCCTAAGCATTAGGGCTGTGTGAAACTTCAGTCGGCAATTCGATATTTGGAGGAGATTCAGCCCGACTTTCAGGTTTGGATTTTCAGCCACTGAACAGAATTGGGAGACGCATTAAAAGGTCCAAATCAAATCCAAGGTCTCCAAATTGATTCGGAAAAAGATTCAGATTGGCCGGGGAGAGACAGACGCAGCCAGACAGCTGCAGGCTGTCCTGCAGGAGAAGCCCCCATTGCTGCCCTGCCCAGCCCCATTCCTCATGTGGCCCAGCCTCCTGGCACTTCAAAAAAACAAACAAACAAAAAAAACCCTTGCGCTCACTGGGTGCGTCCACACATGCAAACACATGCGCTTGCAGCAACTCAAATTGAAGCAGTGCAAATTTGAGCCAAGTTTTTTTGCCCTAGTGCACATGCTTGGACATGCACTTTGTTGAGGAACAAATTGTGCCACTTGAGGCAAAATAACCCTGCCTGGCTCTTCCTGGATCTGCTGCCAGGGGGAGCTAGAGCCTGGGGCCAGCACCTGTGCTGTCCCCAGCAGTATAAAAATCTGCCCTCCCTTAGCCTTAGCAGTACAAAAAGCTGCCCTGGCAAATAGCTCAGGGTTACTTGCTCTCAGGAGCTTCTGGGGCCCTGCCAAATGGTACCTGGGGACGCTACCCCTTGTGCCAGCCGGACTGCTGAAGTAGTCCGGAGAGTTCCCTGCACTCTGTACCCACTGCAGCAGTCTGGCAGTGAGGGCTGCTGCCTGGCTGTGACCTGCTGCACACCTGCCAGACCAGGATGAGGCATCTGCCCCTCTGGGCCACCTTCTAGTGGTCTGTGGCTGCAGAGTTGGTCTCTGTGTGGCACTACTGCCATGTGTTCCCCCTGCCTGGCCACCTGGGCAACTATTGCCCAGAAAATGTTCCAGATGTGGTGGCCTGCTTTGTACTGTCAAAGTATGTCCTCCTGGCCCCATTTGGCCAGGTCAGCCACAGCCAGTTGAGTCCAAGGTGCCAGTTCTGAGCAGGCGGTCCTGCCACTGGCCTGCCTAGCATGAATTCTGGCATTCCCTATTGGAAAACTGAAAAACCCCTGATGAAAAAAATCCCAAAGTTGCTCTGTAAAATACCCCAAAATCCATGTTCCTCCCCAACTAAAACAAAAGACCCCTATAAAGAAAGAGAGAGAGAGTGAGACACAGCAATCAGTTGGGCAATGTTTTATTGATATATCTACAGTATTGAAGCACTGGCTGTTGTGGGGGCTATGGCTACATGGGTTATGGCCCCCCAACAGGGGCCAAGTGGCCCCCACAGGGGCTACTCCCCCCCCCGCAAGGCCCACATGCCCCACCCTAGCCCCACAATTGCTGCCCCACATGGCCCCATCCCTCACCAGCTGCTGCACCCCCCCGATGGCTGCCTTGCCCAGCCCC